CAGTTGTAAGTTGTGGATGCAAGTGAAAAAAAGTGCCCCATCAACACTCTTTTTGCAAACACATTGTTTCAAACATCTAATAAAAAAATTGAGCTTCGAAATTATAATTCGAGACAAGTATGATAAGAATCAAAGGAAACTCGAATAAAATTATTAAATTAAGATTTCGTTTTTTTTTTGCTCTTTTTACATGAGATTTTTTAGAAGTACAATTTGATTATGATCGGAACTTTTTTGGTATCCTCATTACTAAACTGGAGTATTTATCTATAAATTCCATAAAATCGAAAAAATGCAGAAATATCATATGCTCTTCATCTTATTGATAAAAATTTTCTAAACGAAATGATTTTGCTACCTATCATGATTCTATTCGATTCAAATAATCAGAAATCAATAGTTTTGTGAATCTCCTAAAACAGTTAATACAGCAAGACTTCTAGCTTTGTGTAACCAATAAGTGAACATACAAGTACACAATGTCTTGTATATCCTAGTTAAAAAGTGCCGAATCATAAGATTTCCTTAAAAACATAACTCCAATGATATCAGAGTGATGTTGATTACAATAAAAGTCCATTCGATATTGGTTTTCTTCTCTTTGTTGATCAACCTGCTACATATGTTAATACATTCGTTTACACATGATTTATTGAAGAAACGAGTATTCGATATACTAAATATTTTGTACATATTCTAAAACTACAATTTGGGGTGGGGTGTGGGCGTGGATGGGGGGTGTAAGTGAAGAGAAGAAACACACCCACATCCACACCCACCCACACCCTCATTCATTTCCCGTCTCACTTTCAATATAATGAAACAACTGCAAAATTTCTATATTGCATACAAAAATAGCTGAGGACAATCGAGATTATTATTATTCATTTATCTCATGGCAAGCAAATAAAAGTCGTTGAAAAACACGTTCGCACACATCGAAAATTTCGACTGTGAATGGATATGCATATGAGTATGAGGGTTAAATGCTGGTTAAGAGAAGATCTATACATCACCTCATTCATCATCTAAACGAATTGACAAAATAATTTTTTCACTTTATCTAAAGAAAAACTTCTCATTGAATTTTGTTGACATATTGAAAATATTTCGATAGATAAAATAAAACTTACAACAATTGTCTAACTTCGGCTCAATGATATAGATAGATAAGAATTATTCAAACTCACTATTAATTAGGATAACAAAACCAAAACTCAAATTTAAATGAAATAGGAATTTATTGACACACTTTCTTAGAGTTTTATGGAAGATTTCTCGACAAACTTTTGTTTCCAAATTGTTCAAAAACTTCCGAAATTAGATCTATAAGTTCTCTAATTGATTCTAGCTGAAAGTAGAGTTCGCTAAGTTTTTCATTGTCAATTCTAAAGCAGTTCTACAAATAGAACTGATGATTTAATTCAATACTTTATTTAGTTTTCAATACACTTAATATAAAACTTCCTGAGAAAGCAGATTAGAGAAAACTCTAAAAATATGAGATTTTTTTATGATTGATTGAATGAATATAAACAGAAATTAATTTTACAAAATAGAGTGTGGCTGTGGCTTTGGATGGGGATGTCGATGTAGGTTGAGAACAGATCCGCATTAATAGTCACATCCACACCCTCTTGAGATAATAAAACTAACTATTATTCCGTTTTGTTTCAGGTTCATCTCAAATCAAAATACAAGGGTAAAAACTTCTGAAGTAATGATATTAACAATTTTTCGATTTCATTTTAGGATCATCTTGGATTAAACTAAGAAGATAAGAATTCATGGGATAATAAAATTAATTCTTGTTTTATTACGTTTAGGTTTTTCGCAAGTTGAAATACAAAGGTAAGAACTGTTCAAATGATAATATTAAGCATTGTTCTCTTTCATTTTAGCATAATCTCAGATCGAACTAAGAAGGTAAGAAATCTTGAGCTAATAAAACTAAGTTTTATTTTATTTCATCTTAAGTTTATCTCAAATGGGACTTCGTAACCAAAATTCTTTCAGTACTTTCCGTGATTATGATTCTGGAAGCTCCTAAAAGCTTTTGGATAATCACACAATTGGAAATGCGTATCGGTATCTTAAAAATATGGTGTTTTTAGAGTGCATAGAATTGTTTTTAAGCTGTAGAATTCATTGGTAAGACATTGAATGGTTTTTATGATAAACCCGCCAAATGTCACATGTTATTGGTACGACTCAACCATTATTACTACAAATGAAAAATGTTTTTTTTTTTAAAGTTTTCACAGAATTCCTTTCTAGTCAGAAACCATTTGAAGGGTTCTGTGTAGTACCCGATGACAGAACCCACAAAAAGGTTCTGTAAAACTCCTTTTTTTCTTAGAGAGCACACCCACACCCCAAATCGAGCTCTGTGGGGATCTAGCTCCACAGATACTCTACAAGTTAAAAACAGCCCCTCTATGTGAACTCGTTTCCCGATTGTGAAAAGCTTGCACACATACAGGGAACTTTTGAGCAGTTAATAGACGATAACTCGTGAATAAGTCGCAGATTTGAGGCCATATTTTAACCATAATCTACTCTAGTCAAGACTAACATTCTCTGAAATTTTGGTTGAATTCCATCGAAGAACAAAAAAAGTTCCTTTCTGAGTGGGTCCCCCCTTAAAGAAGTTTTTAATCGATAGAAACTTTAGTCTTTTCTGAAAGCTAAGCTTATCTTTTTGTCGTTTTTTATTATTCCACATGACTCTGTATTCCGAACAATGTACTTATCAATCACTTTCTTCGACAAGCATTACAATCCTTTTTGTTATCTATGTCGTAGAAGAGAATGTAATATTTCGGTGATTTTTTAATGGCAATAAATGAGTCAACTGTCGTTTCATCGAAATCTGATAAACGCATCATATGGGCAGGATAAAAAGACTCTAATCGAGAAGAAAAGTCATTGCATTTTTCTTTGTTGCACCTAAATGTTTAAAACTACAATAATTGGTATTTTTTCAATATTACTACTCTGCTATGCAGGGTTGGTCAAAGGTAAGAACCAAATCAATCGATGAGTTCAACAGCAATATGAATACATTTTCGAAGTAGATAGAACATCATGTGTTTTTTTTTTGCAACAAGTTCATTCATTTTCATCTCTATCTTACAAAGAATTTTTATTATTAGGTCAGTCATGTTTGTCATATATGAACAACGATGATATACGCAAAATCAGCGTCAATGTCTACAAATATGAACCAGCATATTACACTGAAAGATGTTGCGAAATCACATTGCAGTTACTGAACAGCATATTTTCAAAGTCTGCAGCATTTGCTTTAATTCATCCGATATTTAAACTGTATGCAGGTGATATCCCTGATGAATGTACAATTCTTTCATTACTCCATCCTTTACTCAAGTTGGCCTGTTTTTTGAAAGACAGATATGAAGAAGCACAAAACTATTTTGATCAAATCAATCATACTCAAGGCACCAAACCATATGAAACAGCGTTAAATGCAGCTAAATTACAATACAAAAGCATGCATGCTGTAGAATGTTTGTATGGACTAAAAAAATAGTCGAACATTTTCAATTCTTAATGCGAGTTGAAGCGGGTCATGTGCTGTTATTTTCGAGTGGATCCTATTGAATTCTCTTATAATTTTCTGGAATTCGAATAATTAATATTGTAGAATCTTATGCATTTTCATTCAAATACGTATTTATCATGAAATGATGGACGGATGTATAAGTCTGAAGGGAGTAGATGGTTAAAGAGAAGAATCATTACCCCACATACATATCTACACATCCACATCCACACCCTTTCTACTTTTAATTCATCTTCACTATCAGCATCATCATTATCAATATCAAATAAATGTTCATCAACACAGTTTTCATCCATTATGACACTCTAAAAAGAAAAAATTATTATTTTTGTTATTTATTTAAATGAATTTCATTTACCATTTGTCCATGATCATCAGGTAAATCACTAACAGCATTATCTTTATTCATAATAACAATCTAAGGAGAGAAGTAGATTATATTGTACATTGAAAGAGAATCTGAATACTTGTTGACGGATGTGTAATATATAAATTTAGTCTGTAGAGTAAAAGTGTAAACGAATAAGTTAGTCATTCGGCCGCTACTTAGATGTAGTAGTAGCGGCTACTTTTATTTTTTCTCTCGCTGACTAGTTGCTTCTTTTCTATTCTCTTCTTTTCGCTCTTCTCTTCCATTTTATTTGGTGATTAAGTAAGATACTGCGCAATATTATAAACCCTCGAACTCTATTTTTCCTTGTCTTCGATATTCTGAATATATTAAGCGATGCACAATCTCCATTGAAAAATAAGCAACAACAGAAAAAAACTGATCTATTAGAAAAAGTATTGTTTATAATAAGTAGGTTTTTCGCTTGGAGGTAAATCTTCTTTTCGAGGTTACATTTTTTCATTTATTGAATTATAATCAACAACATCATATTTCTAATTTTCAAGAAGATATTTATATTGTGTTCGATTTCTAACATCATTCATTTCTTCATCACGTAATTTTTTATCAAGATGTTGTGATGGACGTGGTTTCATTCAATCCCAATGATAATGACGAAGAGCTAATTCAAAATATTTATGTTCGCCTAGTGCACAAATATTTTAAAACTTTCATCAACAAATTCTTTATTTTGTAATTGCATTATAATTCGTGATTCATTTTCAAAAAAGCTGAATAATTCATCAAGTTCTTCTAATAAACGAAGACGTTCCATTAAATTAACTTTTCTTGTTCAATAATAAAACGATGAATTTGATCATCATCATGTTGTTCTTGTCGTTCACGTGTCCAAATAGTTATTTGCTGTTCATGTTTTGTTTCATCATGTTTATCAGCAGGTGGAGATGTTTTTATAAGATTTGTTTCAACAAATTGTTTTAGATCTAATGGAACAATTTTATTTCGTCGACGATGTTGTGGTAAAAGTTTTTCCTATATTAAATAAAATATATTTCATTTATTTCGAGAATATTTTTCATATACTTTAATAATATCACGTACAGCTTCAGAAATCAATTATAAACGTCGATTATGGGTCGGTGGTAGACGTTCCTTCGCTTCAGCAGGATTATAGACATATTCATCAAGTTCTTTTTTCAAAAGGTTTGCCTATATTCACAAAGGCAAAGATTAAGGATACCAGAGACATTTATTTACAGTTGTTTCATGAAGTTGTAATTGATTACTGCCTAATATTGTTTGACATACAATCCACACTCGACCGAATTTTTTTATAAAGAATACTTCCCAAAATCTAAAAGACATGGTTTATTAAATTTATTAAATATTTTCTGTTTTACTTGTAATGAAATTAGACCAATATTATTGGCATCTCCACTTAAATAATCGATTGTTTTGCCAAGTTCTTTTCATTTATCAGTTAAATGAAAATGATCATCATTTTTTAAATTACAAACAAATTGAACTTTTACTTTAACCTAAGGATGATATTCTAAAATAGATTATAAGGACTTTATCGATTCACATATGATATCCTCATCTTCTTTCTCAATTGCTGTACTTTTAAAATCTTCATCGGTTACTGTCAAATAATAATTATAACAAGCATTGAAGTCGAGAGCACATACCAATTCATCATCATGAACATCTTGTAGCATAAGATCTGTACTGACTTGTGTAGCTTCTAGAATAATTTTTATAATAATTTCTAATAGAAAAAAAAAGTGACTTAATATTTACTTTTATAATTTTTCAAGCAAAAATGTATTTAACAAAAGATTAGCTGAGAAACGATCAAGAAAAATTTCATAGTTCACCTAAAAATTTGAAATTTTAATAGATATTGTAGTTTTATATTTAACAAACTTATGATGTAAAACAGATAAAAATATTCTTTTTGTCCAAGATCAAGATGATTCCGTACAAGAGAATAAGCTAATAAAGGTTGAACTCTAAATTACCAATGAACAAACATTCAAACTTTTATTTTGTCTTTTCTACAATTGTTTCTGCTAATTTTAGATCTTCTGTGGTTTCAACATGAGTTAATTTCGCTGCAAGCTAAAATAAATCGATTAATAAACAATTACTTTGATATAACATAACTCACAATTTCAATATCAAGTGAACTAACATTTTTTTTTAATTGATTTGCCTTCTATATCAATTAAAAGTTCACCTTTAAAAATAAAAAACGTCAATTTTAACTCTCAGATAATCTTTTTATGCATGCTAATATTTGTCTTTTGAAGAATTTCACTTGATAATGATTCATCCCATTTATCAAATGCTTTATAACCATCTTATATATATGTTCGAACATCTTTACAAATACAAAAAGGTCGCAAAAACAAATAATTCTATTTAAATCTTACTTGAATATAAAAATAAATTTTTTATCGCTTGTTTCGATACTCTAAATGTATACTGAGCTAATCGAAACATCATATATCTCATCTAAATAGAAATAATTTTCTTTTTATTAAGCCGAATATCATAAATCGTGATTAAATATTTATTATTAAACACATAAACAGCTACATTTTAAATGAAAACGATTCAATTTTTCATTTTGTTCATGTAAATGAACGATTTTTTCCATTAATGCAACGGAAAGAACTTGTGTCTTTGATGGATTTGTTTTGTCCACAATCACAAGTGTGTGGGTGTGGCTGGGTGTAACGTTTGCCTTATATCCATACCCCACACCCACCGGTACCCACACCTTTCATTGCTTAAATCGGTAAAGTTACAGAAATTTTAGAAAAATTCGCCCGTCCGTCACACGTTTCTACATGAATAATGTGACATGTCCATAACTTTTGATCAGAGACCCATGGGCACGAATCCTTTCAGGCTTTTTCTAGTCATTTTGAGGCCTACTTATGGTCAAACTATGAGCTCAAAGTCGAGGAGACAGTTCGGAGTACCTTCCTCGTGAGCATATTATATCTGGATAATTGTATGAAGCAAATGAAGGTAATAAAAACTCTTGAAGCAATTTGGTTATCAAGATGAAATTCTAATTAACTTTGTCATGATTTTTTCATATATCTCAATAGATAGGTTATCATGAGTTCTACATGACGTTAATAGGTGTGACTTTGTTAATGTCTCTATCTTATGATTTATTGTACAGTACGATCTCATACACGTATAGTAAGTACAAAAGGTCATTCTATTTCATATATCTACCTTCTTCTAATTGATACTGCTGCCTTTTACAATATCTTTCAAATCTGGTCACATATTTTTAGAAGTAAATGTGATACTGAACATATGTCGTCATCGAATATTTCATCAGAGAAATGGTCCTTAGAAACTAAAATAAACAGTGGCAGTGGCATCAAGACGATAGAAACGGAAACATAGTCATAATTTCACTCGCCGTCCTAGAAAAAGAAAAGCTGTTTTTCAATGTTTATGGCAGCTCAAAAGACCATTTTGGATGAACAGAGTGATGGGTCCAGATAGTTATGTTAGTTACAAGATTCGTTCAATTCGAGACTTGGCCATTGATTGCACATCTGCTGAATATTGACATTAAGACGTTTAAGTAGCATAGTATCGTCAAGTTTAGAAACTACTTTCTTCAGTTTTTGTTTGGGAATCTTTGTTTTCGATGATGATTGTTTCAGTAAGTCGTCTCAATAGATTTCTGGAAAAAATATTAATTTATAGTATCGAGCCAAGGCATTGGTGAGCAAATCAGTGTTCATTTGTGCCATTGTAAAGAAAGTGAAATGAAGCTGGATGAAACGCCAGACGTTGAGTGGGTGTATTGATCGACTGAGATATCGGCCAAGATTGACACAACGGCAAGTATATGAATATTTATTTGTTGTTAACAAAGACTAATGTTCGTTTATTTTTATTGTCTATAGAGAAAAAAAATGTAGAGAAATTGTTATGGTGAAAATCGTTTACATTTAGCTTGTAAAGAAAAAAATTGTTTAGAAAAAGTGAAACAATTTATTTCTGAAGGAGTAAAAATGAAATAATTCTTCATATTATATTTTCACCATATATATATTCACATATAGGATGATATTAATCTTCAAGATAATCATGTTTGGACACCATTACATGAAACAGTTAATGATGGACATTCAGATATGTGCACCGCGCCCAAAAATTGCCGACCAGGCGGCGGCGGTCACCACATCGAAATGCTTTTTGCTAAGCGTGGTGGACGCACAATTATGAGTTATACTTTTCATTATGGTGCGAACGGACCGCGAGTGCGCGGAGCGGTCGTCCCCGGGGTGTACGAATATTGATACTTAAGGAAAACCTTTTCAATAGTGTCCACCTATTTGTATCCATTTTGATAATAGCAAAGTCAAGCTCATTTTTTACAATTTTAAGAACTTGTATTTCCTATTTTTCAAAAACTTTATAGAATTAAATAAGAGAGAAGTTTGACGAAATGACAAAAATTTCTTTTTAAACTTTACTCTGAAAAAATAATTGGCAAAAGATATTGAAATTCATTAAAAAATCTATTAGTACAAGAAAAAGACTTTTTATTTCTTCATCATCACATAAACACAGAGATGTTATTTTTCGTTACTTCCAATGAGTCAAGAGTAATTTGAAAAAGATGTTAAAATCTCTTAAACAAGTTTTAAACAACATGTAACGACCATTGTTAATAAGTTTCTTTAAAAAAATCGCATTGATTTACATTATCGCTGATAGATCAAGATTCATAGGTGATATATTCGACCCGTTTGATGCACATACTGATTATTAACGACATCTATTAAATATAATGTTAATAAGTTTAAACTCTTTCTTAACGAATCAATAGTAGAATGAACTCAGATTCGATTCGATTCATTTTTATTTCTTATTAATTTTCGTAAATTTAACATGAACAACAATCACTCTTCTGAAGAAAATAATAGTCATGAAGATTCTGAATTAATGAATGATGTATCAAAAGAAGATTCTATGATTGTTGAAGTAGAAATTTAAAACAAATCTCTTTCCAATAAATAATATTTCTGTATAATTTTTTAGCGTCGTCGTTTACGTGAAAATGAAATAGCAAACAAGCTTGGCGAATATCTACTTAAAGGTTATTGTATGTTATTTGATGCTTGTCAAGTTTGTAATGTATGTTATCAATAATGATCTCTATAAACTTGTTATTATTTAACATGTATATTCCTTAGTGTATTCTTCTTCGTACACCTGATCATCAATTATTTTGTGTCGTTTGTCATGAAATCGATATTGAAAATAGTTAGTCTACAAAAAAATTTTTAAAACTTAGTATTCATCCTTGTGTATCTTTCTTTTTTATAGAAAAAACTAGTCATGAAGAAGTTGTAACAACAAATATGAAAAAAGATGATATAAAACGTTCAACAAAACAAAAAAATAAAGAAAAATTGAATGAAAATATGAGTAATTGTAATCGACTTGAAAATAAACTTAAATGGGCTGTTGATGAAGTAAGATAGATTTATATTTAATTTCTTTTTCTCTACCATACCAAACACTAAAATCAAATAGTGGCTTGAATAGTCAATGAAGTTCTCTATCTATGTCAGCATCACAATGTCAAATTTATCATTGCATTGCTAAAAAAAAGAGGTTTTTTTTGTTTTTTTTAATACTTATCACTTCTTAATGGAAGGTCGTAGAAAATGTGTCAACTTCTCATTTTATTCAGAATTTTTTGCTCTTGAAAACTTATTTTCACACAATCTTCTGGCAGCCGAAAACTACAGTGTTTGTTGAGTTCAATGTTTGTTATCGTAGAAAAAAATATGTTGGTCTTCTATTTTTTGATCAGTATTGTAAAATCATTTTTATTTTCTATAGTTAACAAAAACACGAAATCCAAATCGTATTAATAAAATGTGTAAAATTATTACTAAATTGGCACAAACAATAAAAGTACTCAAAATATATGAAATGACATCTGTAGAGGATTAAATAAAAAAAAATAAAACATTGTTTTTGTTTGTTTATTATCTCATTTTTATTCTTGCTAAGTAAACTATTTTTTCAGATATTAAAACCATGGTACGCAAAACTGCAAAACATGTGGCAAGAAATAAGAAAAAATATTGGAGAAAAATTTCAACAAAAGATATTGAAGATCAATTGGAAGATGTTCGAGTACAAGAAATGACAGGGTGTGTTTTAAGAATATATCTTCATCGAGTTAGAAAATTCAATTTAAATAATGAATTCACTGATATAATACATTTTGATATTGAAAGATGCCAGTTGAACTAATACTAAATATACGAGTTGATCTCGATCAGATTGGCAGAAATTGTACATATAGAATTTACTAGAATTCTAAATTATAGAAATATATTTGAAAAAGATTCTGTGACAGAATTTTGTCTATAAGAAGATCTGATTATCCTTGAAATGGAACACATCCATAGTTCTCCTCTTTCGATTGCTGAAAATCATAGGTCATTAACTGTTGATGTTATCGGGTTATTAAAATTACATTCAGCTCTCTTTAATTCTGGCGCAGACATTATCTATAGACAAAAAATCATTGAAGTCAGAAGGAAAGAGTTGAAGAGTTTTCCTTGTACGTGCAGGAAAAAACATGTTCTACTCAAAAATCACGCTCATAAAGGTTTATTTTTAGAATTATCTTAATATAAAAAAAAAAATCAAAGAATATTATTCATTCACATTTCAAATAGTTAAATGTTTTGTTTTTAGTGGACGACGATCTGATCAACCTGATCATGTTTTATATCATATTGATAATGAACGTCCACTTGGTTCACAATCACCATCAACTGAAGAAATGGAATCATCTTCTGTTATTCTTCGTTCGATATCTAAACAACGTCGACCACTGGATTTAAATAATCTTAATACGTATAAACTTCTACAACCACATAGCAGTGTACCACCACCAAGCATTGAGTAAGTTGAAAGAATTTTTATATTAAATATTGAAAACAAAAAAAAAAATTATTTTTATTTCAGTTCACGCCAACCAAAAGATCCATCATCAAAATCAACAAAACGTCTTATTGAATCACAAAAAACAACTGAAACACGTCGAGCTGTTAAAAAAAAATATCAAAATGCAAGAAAACAACGTTCTGAAGCTTTAGAAAAAAATGCTTTAGATAAAGCAGAAAAATTAGAATTTGATGATCCTCATGTTCCACAAAGTTACGATTTATGGAATATACAGAATGAAAAAAAACGTAAGAAATTAATCAAACTATATTTTCATTAGTCTATTCTTTATTTTATAGAAAAAGTTCAATCACTCGTTGGTCCTAAATTAGCTTCATATTTAGATCAAGTTAATCAAACATATGATTGGAAAGTTCCAACTCATATTATTAAAAAACCATCAAAATTACCAGCTATTGATAAACCATTACCTGGCCTATCATATAATCCAACATTTGATGATCATCAAGTAAAAAAACTGATAATAATCATATTTATTAATGAATATTTTGTTTTGTTTATTATTAAATTAGGATTTACTTCGAAAAGCTGTTGATGTTGAACTTGAAAAAGAACGTAAAGAATTAAAATTACAAAAAAAATTACCAATATTATTAACACAAAATGCAGCAGAACCGATAAAAGTATGTACTACTAATATAGAGAATTTTCATTGTATGAAACTCGATGAACTGACATTTCCACGTATGCTATTACCGGAGGAGCCGCTCGATTCTTAAATTATTGCACTCGCACTATTAGAAGAATTTAACTTCTATCCAGCTGTTAGAAGAAAATTAGAATGAAAGAATATTTTCTCGAAATGATATCCACAAACAGACTTAACAGTCAATAAACTCGTCTAAAAGTTTCAATGAAAATGGATGATTCCTTCGAAAGATATTGAATGTTGAAAACGATTTGATTTTTTCTCTTCTTTTTATAAAAAATGATATTTTTTTTCTGCTCATTATATAGAAAATTGAAGAGAACAACTATTAAAAAGTCTGATAAGGCGGTTTATTGAACAACTTTGTAAAATATCCATAATTCGCAAAGAAAAATTCCATAAATTCAAATTCTTCTAAGCTTTCTCAAGCCTCAATAGAGTTTATCAAATGATGTTAGACTTATCACAACACTAATGTATCATTTGGAAAATTTCTCTCATAAGTAGAAAATTTATTTATTATATACTTCGAACAATAAGGATAAATCTATCTCGTCTGTAAATAGATAAAATATTCCTTAAAATAAAAATACATTTCCCTTGATTTATCAAATAAAATAAATTTTGAGATGCTGGATTTATAGCTAATCAGAAGTTATCCAAAGTCATCAGGATTGAACGCAGCGATAATTATTGTAACAAAAGCGTTCTAATTATAGTAATTAAATGAATATTATTTTATTTTATTTTAACTTAGCAATCATGGCTAAAAGAAATGTCATCAGGTTTATTTGATGATAATATTGAACATGAACAAATATTAGAAACAAATCAATTAAATTCTGTTAGTGTTGGTAAACCAGTTAAAGTTGAAACAAAAACTGTTCAACAACGAAATAAAGAAAAACTTCATAAGAAAAAACAAGCTTTAGCTAAAGCAGCTAAAGTAAAACGTATTCAAGATAATAAATTATATCGGTTAGTATTTAAGAGATAAAAACAATAAAATTATTCATATAATATATTTTACTTTTTTTTTTTTTTTAGAGTAAAATCTATTCGAAAAGAAATTAATACCGAAGAACTTAAACATAAACAACGAAAAGAAAAACGAAAGATTGATTATGAAAATCGTGAAAATTATGGTACGAAAAAATTTGGTAGATATAAATTTGAAGAAGCTGATTTGGATTTAAATTTATCTGAGGAAATTACTGGAAATTTACGAACAATGAAAGTAAATAAATTGTTTTTTCATTTCAATTGAGATTTTATTATTTTTTTTTTCATAAGGCTGAAGGTAATTTACTTCATGATCGATTTAAATCATTACAAAAACGAAATGTTATTGAAACACGTATTCGAGCAAAGTATAAAATATTTTGAATTCTTTCTTTATAGAATATTTTATTCATTTTCTTTTGTAGACCAACAAAAACAAAAATGAAAAAATACGAAAAACGATCTGTACGAGAAGTTGGGTATGAAATAAAAAAGAAGAATTTAATTATTTAATAATTTTTGTTTTTCTATTTTTAGAGAAAACTATCGACCAAAATAAAATTGTTTTTCTGTTGTTTTGTTGAATTTTTTGATTCGTTCAAAATAAAAAGAGAAAAGAAATAAATTTATTATTTTTTAATTGCATTTTATGTAATCATATAAAAAAACAACACACAAAATTTATTTCTTGCAGATGTATCAATACATAGAATTCATTTACATATAATATTTTTAACTAACCATGGTTGTTCTTCATCGCACATCTACTGCATTAATATGGTATCGTTTAACATCATGTCGATATAAACATCGTTTAAATCATCCGGGTGTTCATATTCCACATGGTGTACAATATCAAACATCATATAATCTTCCAGATGAATATGCTGATCATCCATTATATCCAGCTATTCGACCGAAATATCCACCAGGTTTTTCTTTTAAATTTTTTTTTTAAAGAATTTTAAATATATAAAATAATAGGTTCTTGGGGTACAATGGATCCAAAAAGAGCTTGGATGCATTTTGAATTAGGAGAAAAATATTATCGACACTTAAAAAGTGTTAAAGAACGTTTAACAATAATGGCCTATCAAAATATGATGTGTTATTATGATAAATTAGATGTTGAACAAATTGATTCGAAATTAATATGGATGCTTACCGGTCGACCACGTTCACCACGTAGTTTACCATTTTATAAACATATCACACGTACACATGTAACTGATGAATTACCAAAATTTTATGAACAAATGGATGTTGAAAGTCTTTTAAATTATGTTAAACCAATATTAATTGATAGAATATTAACAAATGAATATGCACAAAAAGATGATATACCTTTAGAAGATATGTATGATAAAGGTGATTATAAAGTACCATCAATTATAAATGAAAAACAATTTAAAATTGATCAACAACGAACAACTAATGTTTTAACAAATATGATTCGCACTATTATTAATGTTCTTGCTGAACATAAACCATACTTAAGAAAAACACTTGTTAGTAAAAATTCTAAAACTTAAATAATTCTAAAAATTCGATATTCCGATTGATAGTAAGGAACATAACTAAGAATTATCATATTAAATTAGTATTTTGTTTGCATTTATGTGACAATAAATTCTGATTACAAACAGCAATCCACCCTTCGTCGGTTCATATGTACTCCAGTTATGATTCATACATCTCCTTGCGCTTGTTAAAAACATATTCAGCAGAAATATGTACTCAATAAGTTTTTATTTGTCATATCGAACGACACATAGTCAAGATCTTTGTATTTAGCATGCTCTGAGATAGTGCACCTATACTATAGCATTAGCTCAACTTCATTCAGTTTTGAGACTTTGAAAATTCCACAATTGACATGTTGTCTCATTGAAACTTTCTAGCAAAGTTTTCTAACGAATTGATCATAGTTATCACGAAAAAAGATTCATCTTACTACAAACTACATTCAAAATATCAGCTTTCTTATTTGAGAAACTGTGGATTCAGATCCAGAAATTTAATTTTTGTCTTGGATCTGGGTTTCGCACAAACTTGGACCTGTAGCCTCACTATGAGCTAAATGGTAGGAAAAAAAAACATTTATTAAAAATGATCAAAACATATTTTTGTTCGTAAAGATATCTGCTCTATAGTTTGATCTAAAAATAGAAGTCCAACATTATTTATCTGTATATCTATCATGAGCATAAAAATTTACTTATGTTTTTTTTTCTCTTGATTTATTAAAATGTTATTTTAATCATTGTTGCTTATCTAATCTTCGTTCTATTGAAATATTATTTAATTTTTTATTTGTTCTTAGATTGGATCAGATGTACCCATTGAAGCATGGTGGAGTTTAAATCTCAATGGACAAAAATATGGCCGTGCTAAATGGCATCATGATCCAAATACAACCAGTTTTCAATTTCGTGATAAAGCAGCTGTTCAAGTTAAAACATCAAAACCATTAAGAAGTGTAAATTAATTTATTTGATTTTTTTTATTTCTGTAAGAAAAAAATTCTTCTATTTTATAGATTGTTGATCCTAATAGTACTTTATGTCAAACACCTGTCCCTATATGTCTATATCATCCACCAGCTTTTAAAGTCTTTACAGATCGATATTTACCAATGCAAATACCAGGTAATTAAAATTAAATCAAAACTTAAAAGTTGACTATGATGTTTTTTTTGACTCATGAACAGCATATATGTCAGTTTATCAAGAAAGATTTTCTCTATCGAATGGTATATGTCCTATGAAACTCTATTTCGTACAACTGAAAAATGAATAGATGGTACGTCATAGAACTTGGTGAAATATATACCTATTAGATAGAAAAAGTCATTTTTTTGTTAAACAACATACTTCTCGTTATGAGGTCAAATATCACCGTGAAACTTATAATTGCCTTTGATTTTATTTGACTCGTTTTTTTTTTCTTCAAAAGGGCATTGGCATGGTGAAGGACATGATTTTAATCTTCTATCAATCTATTCAATGGATTCAATCTATCAATATGATAGTTATTTTAATGAAGATGAATTATTACCTAGTCTTATGTCTTGGATAGTTAATGCTGGTCATGCTGAACTTTTAGCACAAGCTTATTATCTTGGTTTTTCAATGTGGAGAGAACCAACATATCCTTTAATAGCTCAAACAATACTTAGTAATCGTCGTCAATGGATATTTGGTGTTTATCAATTGAATACTATAGCACATTTTAAATCACATGATGCTCAAACAACATCAAATATTTGTTGGGTATCACCATTGATGAAGTAAGAATTTCTTTAAAATTTTGAATTTATTTCAATATTTTGCTTTTATAGTCTTTATGATCGAGTAGAAAATGGTGAATTAATTAATTTTAATGATGATGTTCTTCGTCATTTATTACGTTTTATATTAAATGAACCAATAATGGAACCTGATTGGAATTTAACACCATATGTTGAAGATATAACAAATTTAGATGAACGTTATAAAAAATTTATACGTAATCTTTATGAAGTTGTTAAACTTGAAAAACAAGATAGTCGTGAACATCATCGATGGGCTAAAATTAGTCATGATACAACAGTATTTAATCGTCGTTATGCTATGATGACAACATTATTTAAAGATATTGTTTTTGATCATTGGCCAAGGGAATGGTATGGAAGAACATTAGAAAAAATTGAACGTAAAAAGAATATGCCATTGTTTAAAGAGTATGATCTACTCATGTCTGTTACTCGTTAGATTTTTGATAATAAATGAAAGAAAAATGCTGAAAAAAAAAGTCATCTACATTCATATGCATTTAAAGATATTTTATTGGATGTTGAAGTAGCTGTGGACATTTTTTTCACATTCTGAATTCTCATACAATGTTTTAAAATTGGAAGTCGTTTTTAGGAATTTTCAAAGTAGGCACCTTATGGATCGTACCTATATATTTATTTCAAAGTGTCTTTTCTTAGAAAAATTGTGTTTTTTTTCTTTGATGGGTATGATGTTTCAAAAGGTGGGTTTTTCTTTCGTATGAAACTAGATAGATATATTTATTGAATAAATATAGCAGTTTCTGTAATATCTGAAATTACCAATATTTTCAAGAGTAGCATTTTTCCACCGATGGTAAGATTCCATGTTGTTCGTATAGAATCAATATTATGTCAAGTTTCTCAGTACTGTGCAAAAGATCCGAAAATTTACTTAGAATTTGTCTTTCTTTGTTAGCATAATTATGAAAATCTGTTAGAAAATTTTCTTTCAATGCCTTGATAGATTTAGAACATTTCCTGACACGTGAAATATTTTCGACCAAATGATTTAGATTTCTCTAATGGAAATTACGATAACTTCCAAACTTTACGGATGGTGTGTCAGTAATTTCTGAAATTTGATTATTCATGAAGGATGTTTACTTTTTTGCAAATTTAAACACTGCTTTCTGCTTTGCCAATCAAAAAATACGGCAGCGTTCGAATACTTTTTGAATTAATTGCCTATGCAGAAGACAAAAGAAATAAAACTGATGATTTGCATTCGTACATCTGTATTTGCTCTTAAGTCTGAGTTAATGATATTTATTTGTAATAAAAAGTAAAGCTATACTATAAAAATAGTACATAAAGACAAGCTAGAATGATGATCATCGTTTGAAATAAATTGTCAATATAACTCAATGCAATTATCTAAATCAATAAAAATGCCCAAAAGTCTGACAATATATAACAAAACTTACTCAAATTGCGGAGGCTTTGTTTTCATAATTAAGTCAATTTCACAAACGGAACTTCTTCACGTCGAGTAATATCATGCTGAACAAGTTGATAAGAATCTTTGCAAGTGTTTTTAATAAATCTGAGTAAATTGAATAATAAGATACATATGAATATAACACTGGCACTATTTTGGGAGGTTATTCTATTTTATGAAAGAAAAAAAAAGATAAATCACAAAGTTATTTTTATTCGAATAGAACACGTATCTTATGTAAGAGAAATACACCCTTTTATCAAAGGGCACGTTTGCATACAAGTTAGCTAGTGTAATACTCAAAAATGTCTTACTATTAGCAGACCTCTTACCTTTTTTCCTGATTGCATTGCCAACTACCAACAAGGAAGAGAGTGCTTGTCACTTGGGATTCGTTTCGAATAAAGTATGATGTTGAGAAATACTGATCCCAACATTGATAGTAATGACAAGCACACCCATAAGCTGGAAGATGACTACAATGTAGACATTTCTGATCAATACAGGTGAAATTAAGCACGAGACAGGTGGTATTCTCATAAAGGCGACGGTTGTTTCCTATCTTTCTATAGCTGAGGGTTCCCATTGAACCAAAAGTGATCATAGCAATACATAATATGAGACACGAAATTGCGAAGGAACGATGATAATCCATCTGCTTGTAACTCTTGTTCTATCGAGCCTATTATATTTATATACAGCACCGATGATGATTAATCCTATGAATTTGGTAAATTTTAAACAAAAATGCTTCGCTATGGAAGAATGCCGAATGATTTTTTAATTGCACAACAATTTCTTGTTCTGCTTCATTGAAATAAATAAAACAATCAATGTGATAGAAGTGATAAGTCGGGAAGATATACTTGGATTTTGTGGAAAAGCGAAATCTGATATTAAATTTCCTTCATAGTATAACCTCATATCGCTATTGAAACTACAAATCACTGGCAAATGCATCGTAACTACAGAGCCATTTTAATAAATATTGAAATCAATCTCTTCAATTTTTTTAATATATCTTCCAAAATTATTGTACTTAGGGGTATTCAAAAGTAGTGGCAACGACATTTTAGTACCACTTAGTAAGCTTGGTAAAAATTTCTTTTTACACAGGATGATAGAGAAAAAAATGCTCTTTCTTTCTATGCTATTTGATCATACTTCACATAATATAATGGTAATAAATTTCCAGTAAGATTCGTTTCGTTATCATTCGTGATCGTTATACTGGCTTATAACGGATAAGACAGGTTAATTTTCCGTCCCTTAATACATTGCATCAATGATCGAAACATACCGTCAGATGCAGCATGAAAAGCNGTCTCGACTAGTTGCTGCACTACAGAATAAAACAATCAAAAAGAAGCGTATCTCTTGCGTAGAGCTTTGGTGAGTTATTGAAAATATTTGAGCCAATAAAATGATATAATTTAATCTGAAAAAGCTGACTGTTATTGTAGAGTTCTAATTTGATCTTTGTTTGTCATAGTCATCCTTATGTTGTCCTTTACTCCCGACTTAGATGCTTTTACTCAAGCAATTTTTGGAATCCATATTCCCTAGACTGAAAGGATAGTGTCTAGAAAGGGTGCGTGTGGGTGTATAGGTGTTGGTGTGGATGGGTGTGAGTGTGAGTGTGTGTGTCGCTGTATTAGATTTTTGTGCGGCTGTGGAAGTTCTCATGATTCACACCTACACCCATCTCATACCCACACCCACCCACACCCTCTTCTTTCTACTTCTTGTTTGATCAACAGTTGTTGAACATGGGTTGATAGATCCGGATTGAAACTCAAAGCATAGGGTAGCAATGTTTTGGGTATATCTTCAAAATCAACCATAATTTTGGTGTACATTGTGTCATTTTGTATATACGGATTCTCTTGTTGTTGAATCATTGACAATGGAGAAATTTTGGTATACCATTGGTTATATTTATATCCGATCGAGGTCGCTAAAAACTACTCGACCTAATGTCTGATCGAAGTGAATCAATAATATATCGCTGTTCAGTTAGGGGTGAGAGGTGGGTAAAGTTTTTCTTTAACCCACGCCAACACCCAAACAACAAATTATGATAATTTCTAGTCGCAATGCAGGAACTAGTAACATACATTAAAATTCGATTCCAAACCATTAAGCTGACAATCAAAGTTTGACAACCTTAATAAAACTTCATGATAATTATCTAAATGGTTACAACCGCATCGCTATGTCTTTTAAACACATTTATAGGTGAGTGATGGGAAAAAAATTGAATCTCTTATCATTCTGTTTCATCAAAAAACTTTTCAGACACTTGTTTGAACTATTTGGAAAGAGATAACTTTACCATGTAGACCGTTACATCAGAGCGGAATGGAGGGATTCGTGCTTTAATATAGACTGATCAGTTTAAGTTAAATGAAACTTTTTTGTCAGATAAGGACATTCATTTGTTGAGTCTCACCTCATTTTAACATCTTTCTCTGTTGACGGTGCTTATTCCAAGCGGGATCCAATTCAATTCGAATCCAAGTTCATAGTGTATTGATGCTTGGTCATATGGAACTCCGGTCTATGGCTTACTTTTCATTTTTCATTACTATCATCTAATATACTTGTTTAGACAATACAGACTACTTGATAAACCACTTTAGTCATGTATAATTGACATTCAAAGCTAAATGTTTAGACGTAAATATTTATTTACTAGACTATTTACTTGAGCATCAAAATTATCGAACCAGGCCCAATGACAGTCGTACAGATAGAGAGTGAACATTTCAACATTGATAACACGACTACACAATAGTAATTGTTATTGTTTTTTTTCGATAACACGAAGAGAGCGCGAACAATCAGCATGCAATGAGCGATATTACAAGTACCAGTTGAGTTCGTAAAATGTCAGTATAGATTAGATAAGAACAAATAAGGTATTAGCTTGAATGTGTTTCTGTATGCATATTATATCTACCTATAACAAAACATCACTTTTACTTCAAATCATCATACATAATTCGATTTTTATCCAGTACTATTGTCTATTTAATCCTGCTGCATAGCCATATAAGTTTGTTGAAGATTTTAGCTATATTTTTTAAAATTATTCCGCTGATTTAGGTTTAATATGCGCTCTAGCAAAATCCGAAACAAAAATGAACGTCTCATTACTGATGGAAGTACGCGATATGCAAATAGAATTGGCCATGATACGACAAGATATTCATGCTCATCCAGAAATGGCCACAGAAGAGCAACGAACATCAGCTCTTGTCGCTTCTAAACTTAAAGAATGGGGTCTAACAGTTACTGAAGGTGTCGGCCGACTCGGCGTTGTTGGAACATTGAAGAGTCTAAAGCCAGGTAATCGTTCTATTGACCTTCGTGCTGACATGGACGCTCTATAACTTATCGAAAAAAATAATGTGTCATATGTTTCGACAAAACCTGGTACAATGCACGCCTGTGGTCATGATGGACATACGGCTATGCTGCGTGGTGCTGCAAAATATTTATCGAAACATCATGATTCATTCTATGGAACTGTTCAATTTATCTTTCAACCGGCTGAAGAAAACCTCGAAGGCGCCATAGCCATGATGAATGACAATTTATTCGAACGATTTCCCGTTGATGCTATCTATGGAATACACAATGTTCCAGAGCAGTTGGGAACATTTTCTATACGACCAGGCCCTCTGATGGCAGCATCCGATCGTTGGTATGTAACGTTTCGAGGCACTGGAGACCATGGCGGAGCAGGTGCGCATCTCGCAACTGATGTTACAGTATTACAAGCACAATTCATCATGGCACTACAAACTATTGTTAGTCGTAATGTCAATGCGGTCGACACAGCAGTGATCACTGTTGGTGCCATCCAGGGTGGTTCTTTCGTATCAGCTAATGTAATGTCATCTGAAATACGTATTGGAGGTGCTGCACGAAGTTTGACTGCATCGGTTCGTGATCTTATCGAACGACGTATTAATGAATTAGCAGATAATCTAGCTAACGCCTTTGGTTGTACGGCTCATGTAGAATATAGTCGAGAAGGAATCCCCCTTGTTAATCATGATGAACAAACAAAACGAGCGATTAAAGTTGCTGAAGAGGTCGTCGGATCAACGAATGTCAACAAGAACAGAAAATCTTTGATGGGTGGTGAAGATTTTGCTTTCATGCTTTTGAAACGACCTGGTGCTTTCATTTTCATGGGCATCAATGATGAAACAGTATTCAATAAGTTGCATTCACCTGATTATAATTTTAATGATGATGCCATTCCATTTGGTGTCGCCTATTGGATAAGTCTTGTTCAACAAGAACTCAACAATTGATTCTATCGTTTTCTTTCCTTCATCAAATCATAAAAAAACAAAAATCAGTAGTTTCTTTTACATATTCAAATTGAGTGTTGAAGTGTCAAGGTGGAAATAACTGAAGTTTCAGGTGTAGGTGTCGATTTCTTTTTAACCCACATTCTTGCTGCTCGTTTTCTTCTCATTGAGTCGTGTCGTTGTACAAACGTGCGTTCTCTTTTCGTCATTTTTCCACAAGCCAAAAAACATGACAGTTCTTGTATCAATCGATCAGGACAAAATGCACACTTTTTCATTTAAAATTTTTCTCTTATGAATAGTTTTTAGGTTTAGGGTGTGGGTGGCATGTGGGGTGGCTGTGTATTAGAGACTTGCACGGAGTCGTTTTCGGAGACACCTTCGGAGGTAATTAAATTTTTTATCAGAAATGTAGTTTTAGCGTAAGAACTACTTTGTCTTGCAGGTTTTGTTCTGTAACACTTGATGTATAAACTGATGCATTTTGGAGGTTCCAACGGTATCTTATCAGGACCTATGGATAATCAAGAAACTCGCAGTTCAATCTGACTCCAACATTTTCATGTTCATAGATCTTGATAAGATGTTGTTGGAACCTTCAAAACGCATTAGTTTATACATTATATATCAGAGAACAAAACCTGCAAGACAAAATAGTTCTATTGCTAAAACTAAATTTTCAGTAAAAAAATTAATTGACTCCGAAAACGACTCCGTGCAGGACTCTAGTGTGGGTGTACGTGTGGCCGTGAGAAGAGACACCCACACCCTACACTCATTCCCATATCAACACACACCCACACCCTTCATGTGAAAAAATTAGTTTCACTACTCCAATTTCACATCATCGAACAGCATTAGCCAAGATAAATGTTCCGATTAGTAATGAAACCTTTGGTATTGACAAACCAACACCTGATGTATTTTCCGATCAAGCATCATTATAAATAAAATAACCTTAAAATCATCATTTATTTCTACTTTCATTCGTCTTGTTGTTATCAACTTTTAAACATTGCGATTTGTTTACGTTAATCGTTGATTTACGCCATGTTTATTAGGATTAATTAAACTTACACCTATTGATTTTTGCGAAGTACTTTGGAGATAAATAATGGTTAATAGACGTTGTATTAGGTGATCGAGCTACTTTCTACAGATGAAGGTTAGGTTTTGGCTAAAATTTAAGGGGTGCTTCATAATAACTGAGGATAATTTGTCCATGACATCATGTTTGTCACATATATATCTCAACAAGATTGTCAATTTTCCAAAGTTTTAGATCTCTAGCTAACATAGTGAAATGTATAGCCAATATTCAAATACATGAGTTTTTGTACTTGATATTTATGACTTTATTTCTTGAATAATGATAGGTATAAACATATAATAGGGAAACACTTTACAAGATAAGTTTTTTTCAAAAGTATTGATTATAATAAAACTGAATGCGTGTGAATATGTTTTTCATTTTTATCTTGCATCAGCTGTAATTGATAAGGCATTTCATCCGTCATTTCTACACATATTTTCTTCAAAACTTTTCTCAATTCTTTGGCGATTTCTGTTTCTAATTGTAACGATTTGTCAAACACTTCTCCGCGAAGATTTTCTTTCAGTGCACTCTAGACGTTTTCAACTATCTTCATACATCATCAGACCGAGCATCACTACCTACCGGTTCGATACGTTGACAAGTATATTGTGCTATCAACTTTGCAATCGATACTCCATGTTACTTTGAGACGTTTAATTCAATACAAAGCAATTAAAATCCTTTCTATACTGGTAACTTATGAACATTTAAGATAAAATCTAAACGACTCGTAATATAAATGCATTTCTTCTTAGTTAAAACAATGCTTACTGGATGTGCGTGGGTGTAGCTTTCTACATCTGATGGCATAGATATCCAACTCACTTGAATACGGACTCCACCTAACCAACTCACACTCACACCCTCATGGGTATCAGTAGGGTATCAACAGAAAACAAAGAAGTAAATTACTGTTCCTGAAATAAATAAATTATATGTGTGTCCAACAAAAATGAAAACTCGTTTTTAAGAAACTAATTGAATCAAGAAAAATTCTGATTGACAAATCTAATGAAAATAATAAATAAAATTTCGACTGAAAATAAAAATAGAAAGGAATGTGGTGCAACATTTTAGAATAAATATGACTAATAGTTCTCACTTGGTAGAATAGGAAATTAGGCTAGGTCAAATTTGACACTGAATAATTGTACTCAAATTTCTCATTCTCTTTCTTTTCATTATTCAAAATAAATAACCACGAATAGAACACAAATCAATGCAACACACAATCATATGAATGAAAGATGCTAGTTCTATTATAGATTGACGAGTTGCATCTTTTCAACTATCACATAAGAAATAAGGCGAAATATTTCGCATGATGGCAGAAAAATTCATAATGCTGCATTCCTTTGTTCTAGAGAAGAACGTTATCTTTATCTTACTCTTTAGACCATTAGAATATCAATTGTTAAATAGATAATCAAACGGATAAGTTATTCACCTTACACAATGTTTAAGATATATTGGTGCCGACTATTTGTACGAGGAACATAAAACAATATGGTAGTTTCTACATCCATGTTTGACTATTTTTTAATCAATTATCTAAGTAACATATAATAGCCAATTCTATGATGGAGCTTTTCGTTACAACTATTGGCATAAGTAGAAGAACTTACGTTAAGTATCATATGCTTATGCTCCTACAAGTGAAGTTTTTTTCTTGATAAGTCATTCTATTGAGCAATTGATTTATGTTCTATTCGTGGTTATTTATTTTGAATAATGAAAAGAAAGAGAATGAGAAATTTGAGTACAATTATTCAGTGTCAAATTTGACCTAGCCTAATTTCCTATTCTACCAAGTGAGAACTNCGACATTTTTTTTTCGACATTATTATCATTCGATCTTCTTACCTTTCGATATTATTTTGCAAAATTTTTCGGCGTTTTTACCATTCGACATTTTTTCTTTCGACCAAACTAGGGTTAACCTCTATGGCTTAGTAGTTAGAGCAGTGACTACTCACGAGGGAATCTCTTTAATTAATGTACTCTGTTTAAGCTTATATATTGCTCATAGGTGGGTCTCATAGTGTAGATAGAAACCTTAGAAGGGTTGTTTTCATTAGATCTTTATTCTCAATTTACGATCATTTTACTAAATTTTCAGCATATCTCAGGATATTACGAGCACAACGAAATAACGGAATTTCAATCTAAAATTTCGCCTAAAAATAGAACGCATGATCCATGTAATATTCTCAAAGTTTCAATTAAAATAGATACTCTATTATCAAGATAGCAAGTATGCAAAAAAAAGAGCTTTTGTCACAAAAGATTTCACACAATCTGATTTGTTTCGCGTTCAACATCTTGAGAAGAAACCATCCATTTTGGCTGAAACTTGCCAGATACTGTAGGGACCATGAGATCTATTTTGGAGAGAAATTTCATATTGAGATTCCTTGATTTGATTTTGCTCGTAATATCTTTCGATATACTGAAAATTCATTAAAATGACCATAACTCGAGAACAAGGACCTAATAAGGAATATCCTTTTCGGATCTTTTATCTACACTATGAGCTCTACCTATGAGCAAAAACATGAGTGGAAACAGACTGTATCAGTTGGTGAGATGCTCTCCATAGTTCCTACATCTAAAGTTCGAATTCTTCTTCGGTCAACTCTTTACTCCTATATCATTCTGTCACCATGTTTATTATACAAATCTTTCACATTCACATTCTCACGTCCTAATAAATTCCGGAAAAATAAGTCCTGAAAGCTGCTGAAAAGTTGACCATATAAAAAAATTATATTGAAAGATAGAAGAATTGGTACTAGCACTGATACAAACGATCTGAAATTCAAATGGTTTCGATCTTTGTTCGAGCCAACTAACATATTCAAAGATTCTTTGTCAATCATTATTTTCATCGCATTTCATTATGTTTTGAGCTCTTGTAAACTTCATGAAAACAAAATATCTCAAGAATGATGTAGACGTGGTGAGCTTGAAGCAAAAAGGATTACATACATAGCAAGTGAGGTTTTTTAGTTTCATCAATATTTTCTTTATAAATGTTTAGGTATTATTGATATTTTTTTTTAGCTTATTGAGACCCGAATAATGATGAACAAATAAAAAGAAAATATTTTAAAGAAATTTCAAACAGTAACATATCGATTTTATTGGAACATTAAAAATTACCATAGTATGTGAAACATCGCCTAAGTACAATGACAACAACTTATTCATTTGAATATTATCAAGATCAAAAAAGTGATATGTGTACAAATACTAAAATTATTATTTCTTTAGACTCAACACTAATCTTCATACTTCTGTATATATATATAAATGATCCTACAGAAATATTGAGTTTAGTTAGTTTCTTTCTTTTAGCTTTAGTACATATATTGAAATATTAATAAATATATTTTTTTCTCTAACATTATTTTTAAAATATTACTTTTATAGATTAGAATTACACGAATCAAATCAATACGTATCTATCATCTTGCTTTTCATTCATCTAAAATAGTTGCTTCCGTCGCATTGTTCATTTTCTCATAAACCCTCATGGCACTCAGCTGGAATTCGTATTAATTACAAAAGAAAATATAAATATAGTAAATCTATATATAGTTCAAGGCTCTCTTTCTCGTCCTCAAACATGTTTTACGTGCACACGTTGTGAAAGTAACTGTCCTCATATCGATTGAGATAGTGAATTATGAGAACCAATTGTCACTTTTTTTTTATAGAGACAAACTGTTTTCTTTCTAGCAGGACGTAACAGAGAGTTCGTCCTCTTTTGTTGAAAACCGGAAATCGCTTATAATATAGAAGAAAAGATTGTAACATATATATCAATCGTCGAATGCTCTAACAAATAGTATCTCACTAGTCTAAAAACTAGCAAGAATCAGTAAAGATTATAGTTGATAAA